ATCTAGTCGCAAATTCCACGCAGATATATTGAACTTTGTGCGTCAAAAAGTGTTTTTTTGGCGAGCAGTTCTTACTTTAGTATAGAAAAATTCTCAGCTAAAAGTCATCGTATTTTGGTGAAAGTTTGTGGTAAACATGCTTTAGTTGAGCAAACGTGCCAAAAGTGGTTTGAACAATTTAAAAATGATGATTTTGGCTTGGACGATGAAGAACGGTCTGGGCGACCAAAAAAGGTTGAATATGAGGAACTGGAATCATTACTTAAAGCGAATTATGTTATTACCAAATATTTCAAGACGGCCAAAAGCAGCCGGATACATTTAAAGGTAAGGAAATTGGGTGCCAGCTGAATTAAAGCCAAGAGACGTTGATAGACGATTTTGTGTGTCAGAAATACTGCTTGCCTGTTACAAAAAGAAATTGTTTTTGCGTTAAGCTGTGACAGGTAATGTACTCGTAAAATGGATTCATAAGGTCAATCATAAACTGAAAAAATCATATGTGAAATCTGGTCAACCAACTAAATCAACGGGAAAGCCGGCGCCAATGCAAATGATGGGCAGCCCAGTACTGACGGTCAGGAAGGTTTTGCTTTATCTTTCATGGGATTGGAAGAAAAACATTACTATTTGCTGCTCCCTTACGTCAAAACTCATCGGAACTGTAGTGACAACAATTGAATCGATTAAATAAAGCAAGCAGCCGAAAAGCTCTTTGCTTTGGCCAATAGGAGAGGAATTATGTGCCATCAGTACAACGCTAGGCCACACCTATCGATAGTGCCTTGATAGACGTCTTCTTGTCTATGGCGAAGACCCAGAAGGAGTAGCCTCTTGCAAAATATAAATAAAAAATCACTTTAGTTTCGTTTACTTGCATGAGTCTTTCAATTGTTAGTGTACTCTTAGATATCAAAGTCTAAAAAAACTTTTTCTGACAAAATGCAGAAGAATTGTTACTTTTACCACTCTTTTGAGTGCAAGAGTTACGGAGTTAATAAGTTTCCAAGTTATTTAGCAACATTTCCATTCTTTACTATTTGAGTACCTTATTAATTTATTGAAATATTTTATGGATTATTATCTTGCAAAAAGTATATACTATTGTGAATGTCCCCAAAAAGGTTTCCTATAATGGACTTAAAATTCTTACAAAAGAATGAGAATTTAGAGAGACTTTAAGATAGAGCCACTTAAATATAAAATTTGTTTAATTTAAAGTCGCTCTTGTTGGTGTAAACAGAATAGCTTTTGGATGTACTGCATATGCGTTTTGCGGAAAGTGACGTAATGAACCATATAGTGACTGTGGCAAAATATTTCATACACCACAACCTTACATCCCTACACACACATGTGCACACCCGCAACACTTGAGTAATGACATTGAGCAAAAGACCGTCATTCAGACATTTGCGATGCTTTGTTATCAACAGGCAACATATGGAAGAAAATTAATGCAAAAGCCTGTGGCAATGCAGCTCACAACGCTTACAAAGCCATCAAGCACTTCATTCACCCATCTCAGTTGCACTCCTTTGCAATTCGCAGCCTCTTCACCAATTAAGTGCAACCTACCAATTCCTTTTTGCTGTGGCAAGTAGTGTGTGTGCGAATGACATGCAGCGCTGGCAATGCGTTACAGTTATGCGGTGTTGTACGTTCTTCGTTGCTGCAAATGAAACTGTATAAAATTATTCATTCTCTCGCATTCTCGTACGAGGTGTGTTCAAAGGAAAAGCTGAATTTTGGAAAAGTACTTATTTACTCATCAATATCTATTTTGTCCCCTTCAAAGTAATCCACCTCGGATATAGTAAACTTATGTCAAATCTTTTTTCCTCGAAGTACTTTTGAAATGCGCTTTTCGGTATGGCCATCAGCTATTTTTTCGATTCTGACTTAATTTAATCAATTGTGGCAAAAACCTTTCCTTTTATTGGTTTCTTCAGTGTTGGGAGTAGGAAAAGGTCGCAGCTAACCAATACGGAATACGGTGGTTGACGCATAATTACGGTTTTGTTTTTGGCCCAAAAATCACGAATAAGCATTGATGTGTGAGCTGGTGCATTTATCAATTTCGGAACCAACTTCGCTGTCACGTGTTTTATGCCCAAAACTGTTTCGATGTTTTCTTTGCTTGCTGACGTGGTCACACCTCCAGGATGCTGATCGTCATCAACATCTTCTCGGCCTTCTGTAAAGCACTTGTACCACTTACAAACACTTTTTTGAGACAAAGTTAGCTCACCGAATGCCACAGTCAACATTTCAAGTACCTTGGATTACTTTATTTATTTATTTTTAACGCAAAATTTAATACATATTATTTTATCAATTTTTATCAAAAGTCAAAAATCGCAGGTCACACAAAAACGTGACTAACCTTTTCTAGTGTCAAAAATAAACTATTAAAATAAATTGGCTCCTAATGCAAGCATATGATAAACATATGTTTCCGATTATAATAAAAACAAAATATCGATAATCGAATGTACACAGAACGCGAAAAATCAAAATTCAGCTTTTCTTTTGAACACACCTTGTATGTGTGTGTGTTTGCATGTATGTCAGCAAATGTTTGCCACTGTATCTGGCTCTTGCGAATGTGGCTGACAGCAGCTGCTTTAACTGACGCAGCATTGCTAGGTTTTAGCCTTAAACGCTCTGGAAGCTTGGTGAGAGTGGTTGCGGGAAGGTTAAGAGCGTTTTCATTGATGTGTATCATATTTAATATGCGTGCTATCTACGAATATACGGTTTTGTGGGTGCATAAAACTTTATGTTTGTTGTCAAGAAAACATGTTGCTTGTTATTAAAAAGTGAGTATTTAAGACTAATCTACTAAGAAAGTATCCTTTCGAACCACTCTTGGCACATAAATAATATTTAATAAGCTACGTTCTGTATTAATTTCAACTTTTACTTACCCTAAAATCACTTGAAATTAAGTTAAATAACAGAGTAAAATATCATTAATTGCGCAATTTGAATCGGCCAGTATTTGTTTACAGAAACGCCGATAAATTTAAACTGGCTACTATTTATCCATTAGAATTATAATTACCTGCTAATTAGCTTTTTATTTTTAGCAAAGTGTGGTTGCCATTATATCAAAATAATAATAGTCGTAAACAGTAATTTCGGCTGCACCAAAGCTATAGTGGCCATTACAGGTGCAATTGGTATATCATAAAAGAATATACTTTCTGAAAAAAGATCTTTATCTTGATTTTGATCGAACATTTTGTATGACAGCTATATGCTATAGTGATCCAATATGAGTGGTTTTGACAGATAAGCGGCTTCTTGGTTAGAAAAAAAGGTGTGCAAATCTTCAGATCGATATTTCAGAAATTGAGGGACTAGTTTGCGTACGTACAGGCAGATGGATAAATTCGGTTTTTAGGTACAGTGGCCCTAATATTCCATGCGTTTTAAAGAACTTTTTTTATTGACCCGTAATTAGGGATTCCTCACTTTCACTATATTTCAAGAGCACTTCGTCGACATTTCTGCGGTAAATATTATTTCTTTCGCTTCCTTATAATCTGTTGTTTCATTTTTTCTTATAGCTGTGCTAATTAAAATTTGTTCTCATACTACATAAGGTACCAGATCTTCGCAGTAGTATTTTAGTATCTGAATTATCATATCATATTTACGAATTTCAAGTTTCCACCACCTGTGATATCAAAATTGTCATTAGCTTGATTTTTATTACTCTAATTAATATTTTGTAGCAGAAAACATTCCCCTCATAAATTTAAGGAATACCTTGAGCTGACAGTCTTGTTCATATATAAATCCAGGCCTCCTTCGTTTATGTGGAGCCTACTGTCGGTTGAAAGGCACTATTATCTTATCAGATAATGATTAATGTCTATCCCTTTGCATTTTCAGTTTTTCCTCTTCAACGAATCGAACAAACTATAGCAGATGCTAAAACAAACGGGCGGCATTTGTGGTGCAACACTGTGTTAATATGTCTTCTGACGCATGGGCAATAGTGTTATGATTATTTCTTAGTGAACAAATTCTTTTTTTCGCGTTAGAAAACATTGCTGTAACCTTTTTTGTTTGCTTACTATAAAATACTATAATTGATTTTAAGTCTTTTGTTAGCAAAATGCAAAAAAAAAAGAAATTTGAATTTTCATTTGTCTTTTGAATCATTCATGAAGGTAAAACTGATCTATAATATATGATGCAAAACAAAACTTGGTTGCACTGAAGATAGCGGCTATACCACTTTAATAAGGTATCCGCACTCTCTTGCACGAATTCAACGGCATAACTTTATTGTAGCTTTTACATGTAAATTTTGTGACACGAAAGCAGAAGGGAGCAGAGTTTGGGCTAATCGAAGACAGCTACTATCTCGAGTATGCATGAGTAATGATAGTTAGGGCTTAATATTCGCTGCTACTTATGCGCACCTCCATATTTTATAGTATGCTGATAGTAGATCATTCTATATGGGCTCTGTGCTTTTAGAATTGTTAGTGCCATACTCAATATCTCATTTTGAAAATTTTCAATTATTCTCTTCTTTTGAGTGCTTCATTGGTTACTTACCGCTTCTACTTTTCCATCGAACTAAAATACATTTAGATGTAAATGGTTTTTATGCGAATTTATTATTGTTGTAATTCATTTAAAACATTTGTATTAATTTGTTTTCTTTTTTCTTCAAATTTTATATACTTTATTAGTATTATTAAATATTTGCTTTTATTTTCTCATTTTAGATTTCTCAAGTTCTTTTTCATATACTATTATTTATAATTTTTGTTTTATACTTCAACAATAAATACAAATACGCAAATATGCAAATACATGCACAAAAGTGTGTATTTAACTACAGTAATGATAATTCAAAATATTCTTCTTTTTGTAATTTTTTTTTGCGTTATGCATCTTTCGATTTAGCTTGCCACTTAATATGCTTAGCTATACATTTTTATTGTTTGAATACAAATTTAAATTTTTTGTTGTTGTTTTTTTTTTTTTTGTAATCAGATTTCATTATACACTCTGTATTGCTAAACATGAAACGAACGCAACTCTTTGAAAAAACATCAAAATTAATTAATTATGTTTTTGAAAACTTTTTGTTGTTGACTTTTTGTTTTATCTGTGTGTTGGTTTGAGTGTGATTAGATATTTTTGTATTTTTAAATTTTTTGTATATAATTATATTTATTTATTTAATTTGTTTTTTTTTTTTGTATTTATTCCTTTTTTTGTGTTCTGCAGCATTTACTTACTGTTGTATATTTGTATATGGTATATATGTTGCTATGCTTGTCTTTTTTTGTGTGTGTTGCAGCCTTTATTGTTGTTGAAATAAACGAAATGTAGTGTTTCTTGTGGTAAGAGTGAAATTTATTTTACAAAATTTTTTAAATTTGCATTCAATTACTGAATTTATATACAGAAGTTTTATTTGATTTTACATTTTTTATATATTTTTTAATTTTCATTTGGAAACTATTGAATTTTAATTCTAACCTCGTTCACTCGGTCCTCTGCTAGCTGCCTTGTATTTGTAGGTGTGTGTTTGTGCTTTTTGTTCTGACGAATGTAAATTATTTAATTTTTTACTTAACTCTCAACTTTTTGCTTAACTTTATTATTTTTTTCTTTTGCCTTTGCAAGCTTTCATTAACTTTTTTCTCAACCAAATTAATATTAAAAATGTATATACGTTTATATGTAATTATATTAATTCATTTAATTTTTATTTTAAGTGTACTATATTTTTCTTAAGTTTTTTTTTTGGTTCTGCTTTGCTTAATTTTTGCTTTTATTTTAATGCTTGATTATATCAATAATATATAATTCACAAAACTTTTTAACAATAATTCAGTCGATCTTTGTTTTGCATAACACTTTTATTTGTGGTTGCTGTTGTTGTTGGTTTACTAGTTATATATGTATATATTACGTTAATTTTATATATGTATGTATCCATAAGTATTTTTGCTTTGCTCTTTTAAGAACAGTTTCGTTTAAATGTCGACAGTTGTTAAACGCTATATTTCAAATATGAAGAGTTTAAGTAGCTTTAGTAAGCTTTTTGAGAAACGCTATATGTATGCTCGGAGAAAAAATGCAATTAGTTTTTTTTGTTTTGTTTTTTGTAACGGCAGGGTTTTCCAATCATTTTTATTTGGAATTTTAGTTTTTTTTTATTATTTCTATAGTAATTTGTTCGAAATTGGTATGCGCAAGTGTTTGCAGAAGTATTTTGAAGAGTTTTTGGTGACAACCCAAAGTTAACTGCAGTTTATCACAGCTAGTTGTCGCCTAGAAATACGCTTGCTTTGTTAAAAAAGTTGTGGTAGTATTTTGATTTTCGAAAAAGTTTTGTTGAATTTTTTTATTAGTTAACTTATTTTAGAGAGATTAAGTTTGCGGCGGAAAAATTTACTTAGTGAATATTTGAAAATTTGATCGAAAATGAAATTGCGCGCTTAATTTATGCAATACATGCAACGTCGAAGTAAACTGAACAATAATAAGAAATAATGCCACTCATGAATTCTCTATATTTTGTGTTTTCTTAGGCTGCGTAAATTATATTTCACATAGAAAGTACAAGCTAAAAAGGTTTAAATTCATCTTAATTGGTTCCCAGACTGTAATAAACTTTACTCACTCATTTGTATCTAACAGTGACCATTGAGTGTACAAAATTTCAATGTGGAATATGAAATTTGAGTTAAAATATTATTACAAAAATTAAGAAATTACAAATTATTTATATTTGTAGCGAATATTATTGTTAAGAAATTACATCCTAGCCTTTATCAAAAAAAGCAGAACGATTTCTGAAAAATCGACTAAATTATTTAGAGCACTTTTAACGGTTCTGGTACCTTTTCTAATTCTAAAACTTCCTTGACAGAATACTATAGAAATATTTTACAATTTTCATGTTCGATTAAATATAATCTGCGGCTAGTTAGTACGATTCGACCTTTTTTTTTGCGCTCTTTTGTCCGATCTACAGATAACGGAGTCAGACTACATATTAGGAGTGGGGGTAGATTTAAAAAGCACTGGTAACTTTTCACGCACCCTTGATGTTTATATTTGTGTATGCTATGCAGTATATATGTATATGTGTATGTATGTATGTATAAGGATATGAGTAGTTTACTCACTAAATTCATTTTTCTCTTTAAGCGCGCTACTGGTTCAGCAGCAAACTTGTTACTTATTCTTTTTTTTCAAATTTTAATTTTACGCAATTAGTAGCAATAACTATTTTCGGAGTTGATTTTAATTTTTTCTCCCTTTACTATTGGTTTTACGCATATATAAGGAGGTTCAAACTAGTCCTTTTTAACGGCTATTTATTGTAAAGAATAATCTTTCTTTCTATAATATAATATAGATATTTTAATATACAATTTAAATATATATTTATCAGCTTACTTTTTTGTATATATATAAGTATGTATATATGCAAGTGTATATATTTATTTAACCTTAAATATAATGCTAAGAACTTATGCTAATATCGTTGTTTATTGAAGTGCCATTTTCAATGCCATTTGCCATTCCTTGTAGCCATCTACTGAATATTTTACCATAACCTTGATTTTATTTTTCTAAGTACCATCGTTTATATGTATTTATATTTGTAATTCATTTAAATAATATATTTCATTACTTTTCTTTGGTTATTTTTGGAACTATAGCAACTTTTCAAATTGGCTCTTTTCACTTAAAAATAGATGCAATAAGGTTTTCAAAAATAACAGTGAATAAAAAAATTATAGATAAGCTAAAAAAGATAAAAAAATGTAGTTTAGAGTTAGAATGGTATGAAAGCTTAAAATCACGGATAAAGTTTTTTTTAGCATTTGTAGACACTAAAATTTTAGACAAAAAAAAAAGAAATAATAGCTCTTTTTTTGTTAAATTTAAGTAACTTCGATTGATTTTAAAAATAAATTCATAAGTTATTTCTGAAAAGATCTATTTCTATAACAAGAATTAGTTTTCTTAATAAGTTATGAATATTAAATTATAGAAATTTTTATTGTTTGGAAGTAAATTAAAGAACTAAATATATTAATACTAAATAGTAATTTAACATCGCTGAAAATTTATTTTTTACTAATAAAATTATTGAAAATAGAAGCATAGAGCGTTTTCGTAAACATATATCTTTTTCGAAAACTTAATTTCATTTTTTCGAACATATTACTTCTGAATTTTAGATCAAGTTTTATCTACCAGAAGCGCCTATGAAATTTCTGAACCTATTCATAAATTTTAACAAAAAGCTATGGTAAGCTTTTAAGCTTCAGAACCTTCACAGTGTCTTTAAAATGTGTAGTAATTAGATTGCTCTCAAAACGTTTAGAAATTAAAATCAAAAATTTGTGAAAGCTACTGACAAGCTTATATTCCACTTAAAAGCTTTCAATTGTAGTATTAGAAGCTAAATAATAATAAATGAAAAATTATCGACAAAATGTAATGACTGCTAGTTGCTAAAAATAAAAAATGGCCAAAAATTTGGCAAAGAGCATTTATTTTTACTAAAACCAAAATTTTGTTGTATTATAATAAGCTCAGTTTTTACCTACATTTGTATTTTCAACCAATTGGTCTGTATGTATGTATACATATATCTAAATTTGAAGTATTTTCAATATGTCTAATTTATTGGTGGTTGTTTTTACTCTAATTCAATAATGAATATATATTTAAATTTTCGTTTTTTGCTTATATGTCAAATTAGGCCAATAAATTATTATAATATATAAATTTGGAACAGATTTTAATTTGTTTAGAGCTTGTAAATATTATATATTAGTGTATCGTTAAGTTTTGCTGCTAGGCTGCGTTTTAAACTTTTATATGCTTTTTTGTATTTCTTCACTATTTTTTTTTTTGCAATTTTAATTACAAGAAGAATATTTAAGTTTTTTTGTTAATGCTTATTTTTTGATATTTCATTTTTTTCGTTTATTTTCTGTTTATTATTTTTCTGGCTTGTATGTTGACATTTTTGGAAATTTTGAAACCGCATTCCGAAAAGTTTTTTGTTTGTATTGTTTCAGCTTTTGAGCTTTGCACGCATACACACGCTTGTGTGGGTGGGACTGTCTGTAAAACTCAATACTCGCAAATGAAATAGTGCTTTGTATGTGTGGCTTGCGCTTTGGCTTTGTTTTTGTGATTTGCACGCTGTTTACTGTTAGAGTAGGTTATTGTTGCTGCCTGCTTTGTTTGGTTATGTTTGTTGTATTCGGCTTTTTTATTTTTTTGTTTGTTTGTTTTAGTTTCTCAAATGCAATTAAAACAGGTTTTTCAATGGGCAATTTTTAAAAGCATCACTGAGACGGTTTTTCAATTTAGCTGTAAGTAAATTCGAAATGAAAAAGAAAAATTAAAACGAATGTCATGTATGTATGGTTGTAGCAATCGAAAAGTAATTAATTTTAAAATCAAACCAAAATTTTAAGTTACCAAAATAAAAATTTAATTATATTTCTTTTTTGGAAGTTAAAGTTTTGTGAAATATTCCCATTTGTTTGCTGTAAAAAAAGACGAGTGAAAAAAGTAAATAAAAGTAAGAGTTAAGAAGCAGCTGAAAATAATAGATTGATTTCGTGTAAGGGAATGAATAATATTTTTTTGTTTTGTTAAAGAGAGGCTGAAATTTACGAAAGTAGACTTTTTATACACTACGTATGCAAGAGATGCTTTACAATATTTTCAGTTACATTTTTTGTGCAGAAATATATTCTTTTAAACGTTTTCGGCGTGTCAGTAGTGCATTAATCGATAACGAGCTGACTGATTAATATAGGTGGAGCCAGTGAGTTTTCTTGTGAAATCTTTTTGAAAACTGTGCAACATTAAAAACTAAATAGTAGTCAAGCTACCCAAATATATTTTTGAAAACTAAATTTTTCTTAATTTTAGCAGCTTTTTTATTTATGATAAAACTTAAAATGAACTGTCTAAGTATATCGGCGTGTTCCACAGAATTTTATACAAGATTGAATTTTATTCATTTAGTTGTAGTCAAAAAATATTCAACGTTACAAGTATATAAAATAAAAACGTTACACATTTTATGTGAAGGCTCGATTCGCAGACGATTTCATCATATAAGAAAGTTGTAATAACAGACCCAAAGTATATATTTTATTCTCTTCTGACTTTTGCTACTGAAAATGCTCTTGCGAAAGCTTAACTATACTCTGTACAGATTTATAGAAGTTAAGTAGTTTTTCGATGAAAAAGTGAGATTTCTTAGGATTAATTTCCCTTTACATCTCTTAACTTCTTTCTTCATGAAATCAGTATGATATTAATTGTATATAGGCTGTGTGATTTACTTTTTTATGATTTTAAATAAAATGTACAAATATAAAATGGTTTGTATATGCTTTACGTACATAGATATTTTGAAGTTGAATAGTTATAGGTATTATTGAAGAGAATGTGAAAAAAGTTATATATGTACATAAATAGTATAATATGTATATATATAATATTTATATAGTGACGTGCATATGCACCAATGTCGTTAATTAAGAAGAATTTACCTACCTGCATGCATGATTGTTAAATATGTCTGCATAAGTGTGCTGTATTACGTATATATATATATATACATATATATATTTATATGTTTGCATGCACGATTCGGAATTTTTCGACCAGTTAATAGCAAAAAACGGCTAAACTACATTCTTTAATGTATCGTATTAATCACCCTAACTTTAACGCTCTACTATATACTACATACATTTTTATGGCTGAGCGTTGATAAATTCTGCAGTGAAACTTTCAACAAAATTAGAGGGATTCCTTTTTCAAATACTAACAATACTATTTTTGTTCTATAATAAACATTTTTTATATACCAATAACAATTCTAGTAGATTATTTTCATTTCTATCAGCACAATTAAACTGTCTTTCTTCGAAATATATCCTTAGCAGACATTTTCACACAAAGTGTGTTGACTTTTAGAAATGCCTTGTACTACCACATGCTGCAATTTTTTTGCGTTGTGTTGTGAAATATTCATGAGTATATGGTGAAGTCATTGATATGTAAAAATATATAAGTATGTGATATTCCTGTGCGAATCTACACATCAAGATGTTAGTGCAATGTAAAAGAGTGGTGAAATTGTAGCAATCTACAGTTCATAATTACAGTTCAATTTCATACACGACTTTATGTGCAACAATTAATTACAGTTAAAATGAAGGCTCTGACATTCGCTTCAATCATATTGCTAAGTAAATGTAGATCCAGGCGAGAGACGAGCATCCAGGATTTAAATGTTTTTTTTTTAAGCAGTTAACGTGTTCCGTCCAACACCACCATCATCATCACCACCACCAACAACAACTTGACAGCGCGTTTGTCGCGTCGAAATTTGCCCTCACTTACTTACCAATTAAAAAATGCTTTTAAACTTTTTACGTATGAAATGCCAAATCTTTTTCATACAAGCTGAAATTATAAGAGAGGCACACACACAAACTTACCTTATAGACTTGTACAATATATATAATATAAAGTTATATAATTTAAGTAGTTAATATTCAAAGACATATTATTCGATAATGAAGTACACATGTAGTTTGTATGTAATAAATGTTAATTTGGTTGTTGTAGTTTTTGGTTTTTGCACATTTCACAGGCATAACAAAGTTGTAATTTACTTTCGTGATTATTTATATACAATGAGTATGCATGTACGCATGTACACAGCTAGTGACAGACAGAAATATGGATGCTAAAAAATATATTTTTTGTGTTTTCAAGTGTTGAGTGTGTGGATAATTGGAGAATGGAGAAGATTTCGGGAAAAAGTTTGAGAGCACAAAAAGAGGTCTAGATAAGTTAGGGAAAATGTTCCAAGTCGCAAGTTAATTTGGTTAAGAGTTGTGTGTCAGAAAAAGGTTGAGTAGTAGATGAGAGCAAATATTAAAAAAGATGAGATAAAAAATAACAAAATTTTAAGAGAAGAAAAAAAAAAACAAAATGAGAAGTGTACCGATAAGGAGAGAATAAGTAAAAGATATGTTGCGGAACGCAAGACATTTTTCGAGTTTTAAAGATAGGCTGATTTTTAATATGAAAATAGAATTTGGTTTAAGTGTCCATTACAAAACAAGTTTTGAGTTTTTGTTAGAACCTTCAAGAACAATATACTAGAGTTGTCACTCAATGGAAAATCTTTAATAAATCAATTTTATGGTATGCAATACATACATTGCTCATAAGAGACCAAAGTATGAAACCTGGGTTAACTTGATTACTTCTGAGTGATTTTAAAATTGAGAAAAAGGTAGCAAGGGCCGGAAAACATTGTTAGAATGTGAATGTGATGTGACTTTTTTGTGTTTGAAAAATGACATTCTCAATATAGATGTACTATAAGTAATAGTTTGTGAAAATTAGAAGTGATATAAAGGAAGACAATAACAAAAAAGCTTAAACATTTTTTAAATGACAAAAAGTAAAAAAGGTGATTATGTATAAAAAATTACTTAATTAATAAGTGGGTCTGAGAGCAAATTTGACAGTCAAGGTAAAAAATTTCTAAAAACCCTATTGAGTTTTTGAAACTTCAGAGTTGAATAGGCTTGGATTATATACAGTGTCCAGTACCCCTTGAAATAAGTGAAGGAAACTAGATATTGAATGACAAAACATCAGAAATAAACAATTCTTAAAAGGTACGCCTTGGCGTATGAGCGCTACTATGTTTCTAGGTACGCCATGGCGTAGAAGCGATATTTTTTAGAGCAAGTTATTCAATTGTTAAGGGAACCAGAAATGGTTGCACAAATTTACATATGTATACAAATATATATATTTATATAAAATGTACATGTATGTGAAGTTCTTGTAGCAATATATTCACAAATAATATGTATGTTCAAAAGTTGTGCGGGCGTTAGAAACGACGAGTGATGGCACAAGTTTTAAGTGAAAGTTGAAAAGCAATAGAAAGCTAGTCGCATGGTTGTTTGTTGTTTTTTTGTTAGTTATGCACGTATTTGCTAAGAAAGTTATATAGAGAGTAAATAAGTAGCAGTAGTATACGAGTACGTTAAGAAATAAAAGAACAACATTCAGATTTTGTTTTAGTTTATATAATTTTTATTTAATTTTTTTGTTTTTTGTTTTTTGTTTTTGTTTGTTAAATTTTCAAAGTAACAATTTAATTAATGCAACATCATTTTCAGTTTTTCTGTTTTTTGTATTTTTTTTTTTGTATCGTCATCTTCTTTTTGTTTTGTAATTCACATTTTGCATGTATGTATTTTTATGAGCTTGTTCTTGTTCTTGCTTTGCTTTGTTTTTGTTTTTTAGCAATTGTTTGGTGGTTTTTTGTGTGTTGAAATGTTGGATTTCTAAGAACTGCTCACTATAATATATATGTATGTGTTTGTATAAATGTATGTTTTCGCTTTTGTTGTTAATATATTCGGGTCTCTGTATATTTTAGTTGCGATTATTTAGTTTGCATTGCATGTAAGTATGTTTTCGTTTGCTACATGCTGCTTTGTTGTGAATGTATTTTTAGCCTGTTGCAGGTTTATTGTAACACTCGCTATATGTTTTTCATGCATTTCACATACTATTTTACACACATTTCAAAATACATTTACAAATTAATTTTTTGACTCCGTATTGTACCAATCCAATTTGTGTATATAGAACTGTATGTTTGTTAAAGTTTTTGTTTTTGTTTCTGTTTATGTTGTGTTTTTTTTTGTTTACATTTTAATTTTTGCCTAACTTTTATTTAAATTGTTCTATATAGTACATATGTATATACTTGAATATATGTATATATATTATTATTTTTTTATGCACTTCACTCAAATGAAATGAAGAAGGCTTACAACAAATATGTTTGCTGTTGTTGGTTTTTATTAAATCTCTGTTTTCTGGCTTCACCTAATTTATGCCAGTGCTCTTTGCTTCGATTTGTAATTTTTTGCTTACTAATTAGGATATATTTTTTTAATGTCAGCTTCTATATTATATAAACAATCTCTAGTATGAAAGTTAAGAGTTCGAAGGTTTTTTCTAGTATGTAAAGCTTTAGTAGTTTAGGAGTCATTATTAAATTCAAATTTATTTTCAATTATCTTTCAATTAAGAAAATAAATTTTTTTTTAATAAAAAAAAAGAAGAAAAAATCAAATTTTTGGAGTATTTTATATTGGAATATTTACCAAAAGAGTATTTTTGGGGTTATTTAACACTTTGTAGTAGTTATGCTTTGCGCTCTAGGTATCTATTGTGCTAAGAAATGTGAGTAGATATAGTTTATTAAAATATTTGGAGCTACTTGAGAATCGTAAAGGTTTGATGGTTTTTTAAAAAAATTATATAGTTTTGGATTTAATTAGATATGAATACAAGAAAATTTCTTAGATATCTGATTTGAAGGGTCTAAAAAAAGTTATAAGGAGTTTTGCATAATCTCTTAAAAATTGTCTGTAGCTTTCTCGGAGTTTCTCAAGTGTAACAATGCGCAGAGCTGCGGAATATTTTTCTATTTGGTTAAGGTGTTGCTATCAGGAAGCTTTTAACAAACCTAGTGTATTTAATATGGTAGTGGCAACACTTTTATTTGTGAAACTCTTCTATGGCTGTTTAAATTACACACAGTTTTGTTGACTCTTTAGATTTAAGCAAGAGCGTCGTTTAGTTTTATTTTTTTATTTTTGTTCATAAGTATCGTACTATAATACATCACAAAGCCATAAACAACAAGTCTAAACATTGCGCTAAAGAAATATATTTTTTATACAATACATACAATAAATACATATGCTAGATTTGTTATTATTTTCGTTTTTTTTTATAACAAACATGCAGAGCTCTTTTTTTATTTTTATGTCGAGGCAATGCCAGCAAGAGGGTTGCCAGAAAATGTTTAAATTAATAACAAAAAATAGTATTTAAAGTTATTATAAGTTTTAATTAAAAGTGGTAAAATGGATACAGTACGAAAATACTGAAGCTTTTCAACTTTTTCTCATAATAGTTATTAGAAAGAAAAAAAAAATAAAATATAAAAAGTTCTGTGTATTTCGAAATCAGCTTCAACTTTTAATTTTTCCACCTATTGTATTGCATATGTATGGTATTACCGGATTTGTGAATTTTTTTTATTTTTGCTGACATTTCATTGGTAATATTTTTTTGAAGAGTAGCTTTCATATATATCAGATTTTTTCACTAATAATTTAATCCAACATTTTTAAAATTAATTAATAATCTTTCATTAACTAATAGGTAACATAATATATTTCTTTTTATTAAAATTAATTAACATGTAATTAAAATCAACACGGAAAAAGCTTAACAATTATTTGTTTATATTATTTTGAAAAATCAAATAACAAAGTTGTCCTATATAAGCTAACACAACTGTTCGTATTAATAGCAAAAAACATGGACACAAGTTGTGTCATGTTTTGTATTTAGTTAAATATTTTTTGTTTTCGTTCATACAGTTGGTAACATTCCTAATACTACACACAAGCCTATTTCCCAACCTACGTTTTTATTAGCAAATACACGAACCTATATGAGAAGGTTGGATAAGAAAGAAAGAACTAGTGAGAGAAAGTGACAGAAAGGCGGGGACAAAATGCATAAGAAGAATTATTGGCTTTTCGAAATCATCGATAGCTTGAAAGACGTACTATGTAATGCTTTTTTTAAGAAGCTGTTAATATGCTCTAATAAAACTTTTGCTCGAGAGAGCTTTGCAGTTCAGCAATCAGACGAACTTCCATGTTTTAATTTCACTTTGGGCTAACTGATAAATTCAGAAAGATTTGTACATCATATAATTGTATATACAAAGTGCGGCCAGCATTTACTGAAGCTAATTTGTGTATTAATCTTTTCGACGAATTTTCTATAAATTTTCGCTGGCACATATAATTTAATAGAAAATTACAGGAATGTAATGTAATGTAATTCTCTTACTAAAATACACATATTTTCAAAACTCATCCAATGGACGAATTTATGAACAAAAGCCTTTACACTGAAGTCACGTGACCACATATATAGCTCGACTAATATAAGAATACACTTACAGATATAAATTTTATACTAATTGCAGAGTGTTGCCTTATGTAGGAATATGTATCGCTTGTATTGAGTATCGCAATCCCTGTGTGTGTGTGTGCTTACGGTTGCGTATGACGAATTCCACATCGAGTATCGAAGTGTTGAGTTGTAAAATGGTGGATACATGTTCAAGCCAGTTTGTGGTTGTAACTCTTATGGTTGTTGCTGTTGTTGTGCACGCATGTCTTAATGTTTGTGATTTGTCGCTTACATTTGTCTTGCATAATTCTTAACACATATACATATGTACATAATTTCAGCAAAAATTTCAATAAGCCTCATATTCGAGCTTGTATTGTTTATGCAACGATTTTTATTGTATACTTGTATTTTCAAATACACTGACTAATTATGAGCGCATAACAGTTACACATAGTAAGACCATAAAACATTTATTAATAAATACACACATTCACATACAGATCATTAAATGTTTTGTTGTTGTTATTTTTTTTTACAAGTAGCACAATTAAATTGTCGAAAATAAACGAGTGACAGCAAGGAAAAGAGAAAGAGAGAGAGAAAGATAAAGAAAATAGAGAAAAAAGAGATAGTAAGTGACATTGATAAATATATTTTTATGTCAGTTTAAGTTTGTATATAGAGTATTGTATATACATATATACTATATATGCTTATGTTATTAAATGTATATTTAAAGTATATATATGTAATACGGTAATTATATATGAATACAAAAATATAAATAAGACAAAACATTACTTTCAATAACGGTATATGTATGTGATAAAAATGTAAAAAGAAAAACATGCACCATTACCCTTATATATTGTATATACATATATATGTATGTAGTATGTATTTACAAAAAAGCGGCACGAAGTATGCTTATGTATGACTATACAAGTAGTATATAATCAAGTCTTACATAGTACTTATATCGCTGTGTTATGTGCAGCAGTGCATTAAAAATTAAATGTTAATGTGCATATTTGTTGTTATAAATGTAATGTAGAAGTTATATATATTATATATACAAACATTTATATAAAAAATGTATGAAATATTCGTTGTTTATGAAACAAGATGAGTCATGATGGGTGTATCAGCTCGACTGATATCGAATAAGGAATAATGATAGATAGATTGGCTAATCAAAGGGATTGTAAATTGATGTATTATTCATGGAAATATTTTAAAAAACTTCTCTATAGAAAATTGTTGAATTAAAGTATCTCTTCCTCTAAAGTATGTATGGTTGAAAAATTCTTCGAAATGCATTAAAATTAAATTTCTGATTACTTTTCCAGTGAGTTAATTAAGCGCTAAAGAAAATAATCTTTTATCCAAAATATGTTTGGTTGGAAATACTTGTATAACGATTCATCCAACAAATGTACTGTCGGAAAATTCCTCGAAATTTATTTAATTCGTTTTTGGACCACTTTTTATGTTCTTAATGTAACGGGTGAATAAAGTTAATTTATCATCGATAGGACGAAAATACGTTTCTGGATTAAAAATTGGTAAGACTTCTAGCGCACTCATGATAAACGCTGGAGAAACAAAAATTCATTCATCGAAAGGACGAAAATACGTTTCAGGATTAGAAAAAAGTATTTTACGCATTTATAGTTCCTTATATAACATTGGACACACTGTTAGTAATCTAGCGGTAAAGAAAAAACAAATCTTCAAAAGTATGTATCATATGCATATACTCTGAAGGACTAGTAAAACGTATTATTATATAATATATTACCACCTCTTTATATATTATATATATCGTTGATGAGTTTTGCAGCTACTTAGTGCCACTTTTGTGCTAAAAAATGAATATCTCTAAGTTGAAGAAGAACTTCATGAAAATTTTTATTTTAAATTTGCTTCCTTTTTCGTTCGATGAATAGGTTAAATGTTTTACTTAAACCTATCACAGCTGCACTTGCTCACTTAACTTACAACCTACGGCATACAATATAAACATACAATTGTATGTTATTATATATTGGCATAAATTCTCAAACTACTTAATTTTTACAAAGTTCCTTTACTACACAGACATATATACATATTTGGTACAATTATTACGAAGTCTATGCTACAATATTATAAATTATTTCTAATTAAGGGAATAAAGTATGCAATCATTTTTCTGGCGTATTTTTTTTGGGTATTTATTCTTTGTGATATTGAAATCTGTATCCAAAAATGTGGGCGGGGTATTCAGTGGTGCATTATTTTGATATTTTCTTCAAAAGATTTCTCGGTTGTGTTTTGCTATTATCTATCACAAATTTGCTTAAATCTGTTTTGCTGCCTAAAACATAAACGCTCTGCCGATTTACTGGGCGATAAGAGCTACATATTTTGGCAGTAACAGAATTGTATTAATACATTATTTATTATTTAGTTAATTAAAACTATTAATTCCTATAAATGGTACTATATATGCTTTGTTGACTACGATCGGTTGAATAATGCAGAGTGATATATAAATATGGAGTAGGTAGACGATACTTTGTATATGTATTAGTAAGTTTCAGAATATGGTATGTATTTATGGGGTCTGCTATACCGGTTTTATGTTAAACATTAAAAAAAAGTTTCTGCCTTAAATATTTAAGATTTTTTTTGAAATTGTATATATATAATTGTATAAGTATGCTAGCTTTCAAACAAATTTTTTCATTTTGATTTTTTTTAAATAAATTGCTTACTATTTTTTATGGCAATAAAATTTTTTTATAATATCTACTTTCATGTGTTTGTGTGATTTACTTGATGAGGTGTTTTAAATATATTTTGTTTTGGTTAAAAAAAATAAAGTTTGTAAAAAAATATTTAAAAAATCGGTAAACACATCAACGAAATATTCAAATATTATAGAAATTACTTTAATGAGTACTAAAATGTATATGAAAAAAATTTTGAGTTTTACTTACATTTGCAGTTTCTTCGTTTCAGTGTAATCTCAGAGGTTAGGGCTCATTGTGTATATGTTATTTATTTTGAGGGAGTTTAGTAAAAGAAAGAAATTGTACAGATTAGCCAGTTGTTTGCTGAAATATGTGTCTCATAGATTGGTTTTTAAATAACAATTTGCCAATATTAATAACAAATCGCCAATTTTGAACAATTCAAAAATGCAATTTCGTACAGTTTGGTCTTAACTACATAAGTATTATACTGTATATAGTCTGCTGCATTCGGTGCAGCAACGTTGTCTTTTGCGAGTATGTTTGATTAGTGTTATGCAAGTAAGAGAGCCAACTACGTTTCAGTGTTGGGAGCTTTAAGTTTAGTTACGAGTTTTTCGGGTATTTCTTTTGGAAATCTTTAAGAGTGTTACGTTTGCATAGATCTTGCTTGTGGCTGTTTAGGCTCTGTTAGAGTAGAGTGAAATAGAACTTTTTTTGTTGGTTTTTGAGCATTCTTTACTAATAAAGCGCTTACTGTTCTTTATACAACTTATTATGCTTCATTTGTTATTGTATTAGATATTTGTTGTCATGTATGCCAAAATTTGCGTACTCGTTATATTAAATTATAGTTGTTTTTGTTTTGTTTGTATTTTAAATTTTATTTAAATTTTGAAGGCATTTTCGTTTTAGGTTTTCTTTCTCTCTCTCCCTCTCACTCTCGTTCTTCATTTATTACTTCATATCTTCTTTATTTTTGCAATTTCTAAACAGTTACGCTATTCCTACTTAGATTTAAGTTGACTTTCGCTTTTGCTTTGCAGTAACCTTTCCTTTTTGTTTTCACTTCGCGAGCGTTTGGTGAACAGAACATGCTCGCTAGTGTTACCGCGTAGTGTTCTCAAATGAGCGTCACTCGCTCTGTCAGTTGAACTCGTTGCCCGTATTGCTGTTGCATATTTATTGTTGGTTGTGTATTTTTTTGGGCACTGTTTTGTTGTTGTTAGTGGAATAGCCCATGTAGCTTTCGTTGACAGTGTTGTTATTTGAATTTGCATTGCGGGCTTTGTGTGTTTTGGTTTTTTTATATATATTTTTTTGTTTAATTGTTTTCCTAATCTGCTTTATGGCGAAAATCTTGCTGAATAGCGTCGCTTGTTCAATTATTTAACGGTTTTTATGCTTTTTATTTTAATTTTCTGATTTGTTCGGTGTGTGTTTTTATTATTTTGTGGTTCGTTTTATTTACTTTGTGTCTGTTAATTACTGTACATTTACGCATATTTGTGGGCAAATATTTATAAACAATACTCAAATATGTTTAATTGTTTTGTTGTTTTTTATATATAATATTTGTTTGTGTTATATTATAAGAGATCTTTTCCATTCGAAATTATTAAATAATCAGAATTTTTACTGTGATTTGCTGTTTGTATATATAATCCTGCGTAAATGTAGTGTTAATTGTTTGGTTGAAATAATGATTTGGTAATTTGCTATTTTATTTAATGATTTTTAAAACAATTAATCATTTACTCATTTCAATTATATATATTTGCTTTTAGTTGTATATAAGTAGGTAATTATTTATTTGCTATATGTTATGTATGTATATATTTATACGCTAGTATATAGCGCCATTTGCTATCAGCTTTTTGGTTGTATGTCCTTGGGTGTTTTCTGGTTTTGCTTGTTTTTGTTATGGTTGTCGGCTTTTATATATTTTCTGCTGCTTTCCTTTTGCTGCAGTTGTTATTTGAGTATATATATATATATATGGTAGATATATATATATTTATATATATATGGTATGTATATATTATATAAGTTTGTTTGGGAAATGGGGAAAATTTGTTGTAAGTATTTTTGTTGTTGTAATTTTGTTATATATTGAGTATTTTTTTATATTAGAGCATTTTTACCGTTATTTATTATGTTTTCAATTATATATATATATTTTTTTAGATATATATATTTTTATATATTTGTTATGTTTTGTTATATATTTCTTGCGTACGCATTTGGTTGCTTCATTTATTTGTGTTTTTTGTTGTTGTATTTGTTTTGTTTATATATGTAGGTATAATTTGGTATTCATAATCATATGATGACATATCACTGCATGACACATTTTCCCTCTATTTGAGTTTTTAGCTCATTTACTTGCGTTTCTATTTGATTTTTCAGTTCTGTAAGAAGAAATTGAGTAATGGAAACAGCAATAAATAAGCGTGTTATTGTAGGATAGACTACAATATTACATAAAGACACAAAAAAAATACCATTTACATTTCTTTAGTTTTAACATTTAATATCGCTGTTGTTATAGAGTTGGTAATAAACTGTTTACTGTGTTAATTTCGTTTCTTTAAAAATAGTTTTTTTTTTTTTTTAATTTTCATTATTATTTTTTTCTGTTGATTGTGTGTGGTGTACTTTAAACATTTACACAAGTAGAGTAGTTAGTTGTGTCAATAGAGCACATCAAGAAAATTTATATAGAGAATCGAAATTGTTCCTTACAAGTTCATGCACTCAACGCATTCACGCGTCAAATCGTATACCTTGATTGTTGTTGTTATTTTTTTCGTGGTATAAAGCCGGTTGGCCCACCGACGGTGGCTTATGGCTGGCGCAAATGTTTTGGGTGCATGGTATATACGTATACATATACATACATATATAGAGAGAGAGAGTGGATAGTGAGTGTTACAAAGCAAAAGTAGTAGCAATAGTACTAGATAGTAAGTAGTAGGAATACTGAGGGAGTGGCGATAGTGAAGAGTACACACACATGTTGCAAGAGGGAAAAAGCTCAGTTGCTGTATTTTATTCGTTATGATGAAATTGGTTTATGTGTGATTATTTGGTATTCAAATTCATATTTACTTAATAAAATTAGTGTTTGATAGATAGAAAGTTATATTATACATTGGTTTTGGTTTAGTTTTTATTATAAGTACAGTACTAAACTATTGTTTGTGAAGTTAAGTTGTTAATTGAGGAAGTGTAAAAAAATAAAGTGCATTCAAAAATCAGGAAGATATATAAAATGATACTAAAACTATTTTACGAAATATGGTGTTCATAATATGTTTTTTTATTTTGTTATTGAGACGCAGTTCTCAAATAAGGTAGTTAGGTAAAATAAGATATTTAAACAATAGATGAGAAACTCAGAAAATAATATAATGTTGCAAGACTAGTTTTTGGTTTTAAATTACTCAAAACTTGCAGAAAAATTAAATGGAGATAAAAAATTAAATTTTTCAAGAGAATTCGCTAGTAAATATGGTTATAAGTATTTATTAAAAAAACTTAAAAAGATTTTTTTATATAAATCTTAAAACCATTCCATTCAATTTATTTTTGTATCGTGGAGGTTTGGTATAATTTCATGGAAAATTTATATGTAGGCTCATATCCTAAGGTTTATTATGAAATGTATGTGAATATAACTTAAGCAGCGTTTTTATCTACTTCATTAAGACATTGAAAATCTGGTCTAGTACATTAGCTTATAAATAGAAAAACTCATTAAGGTTTATTTTCAGTGCGTTTTCGAAAGTGACTTTTCTAATTTAGCTATACGTTTTCTTGGTAAGTTAAAAAAAAAATTTTTGATTTTCTTTTGATTTTTTCATTATTAGGCTTTATTCTAAACTTTTGCCATATCTTATATATCAGAAATTTATAATCGTTTTGCACAAACTTCGTATAGAATGCAATAATTTGGTTTGTACCAGAGTTGGGCTACGATGTTACTCATACGACATGGTGACTGTCATATAATAAATGGCGTTAATATTATGAAAAGTTAACTCGATATGCCTACGTAATATATTATTTCAAAATTTTTACTTGAGTGTTAAACTATTTTTTCATATTTTCTCAATTCTCAAAAAAAAACGCATTTTGAAATCTTTTCCTAACAAAACTCTCTTAGATGCTAAACTCAATACAATATGAAATGACACTTTTAGCATCACGCCACAAAGTTCAAAGTGGTTTTAATTACACTTGCTTCTGATGTGAAAACTTTGTCGCATCAATGTAAGACAAATGAGCGCACTTTTCGCAGCTATTCGTAAGCTGCACAGTCCGCTAAGTAAGTACCCGCATTAAGAGTAAAAGTAGTAGTAGCAATAGTAGCAGTATTTTGCACGCTTAATGATACTTTAACACGCCGTTAATACTGATGATTTTACTATAGTGACAGTGTTGCACTTAATGTAGCAAGTAGTTGTAACGGAACATTCATATAGCAATTTTGTTACAAATTGTGTTTATAGGTGTATTAAGTAAGCTTTTCGAAACTATTTCTCAACAAAAGTGCGAAATATTGTAAATTCAAAACAGAACTAAAATTTCAAATTATGTCAAATTCAAACTGCTTTGTGAGAGGTCATTGGATGCAATTCCTAAATTTTTTTTAGAAAAAATGGTGTCTAATCGGCTTTGGCAGTTTGTCTTCAAGCGAAAAACTTAGAGGCTTGTATTTCTGTTCTCAAAAACGTCTTACCTGATATATCATAATTTTGAAACTCGTCATTCTTTAGATAACAAAAAAGAGTAAGGAAAACAAATGAATAAAGTATACCACAAGTATTTCCTTCAAATCGTTATAGATACTAATATATGTGGCTAATTTTTTAATAAAACCCTACTTAATATTTTGCTATAGCTGCGACCATTGCCTAATTAAAAAACTAACAAAGAAGGACGACAGCTCAACCCACTGTATAAATTTTCTCACATATTTTCAACATTGTTTTATCAACCAACATCAGTTCTTTTTAACCAAAATTTTGGCATGCCTTTATATGCTTAATGAATAAATTTCTTCATTAATTTCGTCGGCATCCTTTCCTTTATTGGCTCGTTAATGGTAATTTGCCGGCTTACAAATTTATTACCTTATAATAAATATGAAAAATGGTAATGAGTTTGCACTGCCACATGTTACACGAAAGTCGTTTTGATTTATGGCCAGCTGTTGGTCAAGGCGCAGCAAGCTATTGGCCTGAAATCACAACATTATTTAGAATCACTTAAGCTAGCCGCAATATAAGTATTTAATGTAGATTTTTTCCTGTTAAGGGCGAGCCATGAATTTTAAAATATGAAACTGCGGCCTAGTAATGGCTCAATAAACAATTTAATTATGCGTGCTTTACCATAGGCGAGCTGGCAATATATTGCTACTATGCCCGGGTGTGGCGCAAAACAGAAGTGCTTTAGATTTATTGTATGAGCATTTGCCATTAGAGTGATTGCGGTTGATATTTAAATGTAGGTCAGTAAGTGGATTAATTGCTTGAAAATACGTTAACTTTTTTGTATTTAAAAAAATATTTTTAACTATTATTAACGGAAGGATAATGGAAGGTCATTTAATGAACTAAAAGCAATATCTACGTAAAAGAATTTTTGTTAATAAATTTATCAATCAACTAGATGAAGTATTCCCTAAATAAAAAGAGTATTATTTGGTTATTTATAATTCCATAAATTGCGCAATTTTTTTAATAATATTTACATCTAAAAGTATAAATGATCAGCGTGACGGGCTGAGTCGATTTATCGTCTGTCTGTTTGAACTACGCGTTCAGTTTTTGAGATATCGTTCTGAGAGTTTGTACACGTTCTTTATTACCCAAGTTACTGCTCGTTGGTCGGAGTCGTTGATATCCGACCACTATAGCATATAGCTGCCATACAAACCGACCGATCCAAATGAAGCTCCGGTATAGAATACTTTTTTATTTAACAAAGTACCTTCAAGAAATTGGGCCTAGATTATTATTCAAAATTATTCAGATCGAGTCACTCGATCATACATATAGCTGCCATACAAACTGACTGATCAAAGCTCTTGTATCAAATCTTTTGTATTTTTGAAGCGTATTATAGCTTCTTGCAACCAAAGCTAACGGTTTTTCTTGTTTTTTCGTAAAGTTCGGAAAGCATTAGCTTTAGCATAAAGCTTTGCTGTGTTAAAATTTCCATAAGTCAATATAAATACATTTTTCATCCATTCTACACTCCTGGCTACAAATTGAGCATGTGCTAGAATACACACACACACACACAACCAATATTTGCCAACGAAATGACTTAATTGAAGTATTTACCTAAAATTAGTGTAGCCAAATGCATTTGAATAAAATTTAGCCGTAGATTGCTAGGAGCACCTAATTGAAAGAAGAAACTAAAATAGTTTATTTAAAGCTTTTGAATTTTAATTGAATTTCGCAGGCAAATAGAAAAAGGAAATCTTCATAGTTGCATTGCAAGGCGCAAATAGTGCAACCGTGGTAAATTGGTGCGGTTGCCACAGCTGCAGGAGCCAAAATGCAAATGACTGCGGTGCGCCGAAGTAGCAAGGCCAACGCTTAAGATTTTAGATGCAGTTTTTTAATTGCGGATTGTTGGATTTCACTCAACCGCAAAAACTTTTAATTTGCACAAGAGAAGAGATTAAATTTAAAATTTACACCAAGTGGCACTCAGTACGGCGTGCGGCAACTTTAAGCGTCAAGCGAGTTGGTTTCTTGGTTGAGTGTGGCAGATAAGTTGATAAGAGCCATTTGCTCGACAGATTGTTAGTGTCGCTTTGCATATGCCATTTACAATTTCACTAACACACACACACACATATACCTATATGTATATACAAACATAGACTTGTTAACTGCTATTTCTTCATTTCATTTTATGGTAAGTTTCCTATTATTCTTGCATTTCACTTGTCTGACTTGGCATTTAGTTTTTTTGTTGTTGCTCGTTTAGATTATTCATTTTCTTGCTGAGTATCTTGTTGTTGTTGCTTTCAGCATAGTTAACAAGTGCAAATTTTCAATTTAAATGCAAGCAAACTGCTTTTGATTACGTATACGCCCCAGTGCACTTGTGCTGCCGGCAAGGCAAGCGAGTGAGTCTGCATTGCAATGAGATAAATACATGTATAATTGCATACGAGTGATAAAAATAAAGAAGAAGAAAGCTGCTCTGCCATTGTTGGGCATTCTAATTTGTTTGCCGTATTTGGTCCCTTCAATGCTATTTGAGTAAGCACATCTCAGTTCGCAGCTGAAGCAAGTTGGGAAAATCAGCAGCTCAGCAAGTGGCAATTGCATTTTCAGAAATTTAGTCTCCCTCTGTTTGAATGGAATGCGTTGGCGCATTTAGTAAAACTTAAGAACTCATTATTTTTTCATTATGCTGCTGTTGTAACATTTTACATAATAAATTAAGCGCAAAGCAACAAAGGACGTCCACATGCACTACAGTGCAAATTAATTTAAAGTTGTATGGAAAGCTTTAAATCTATTTGAATTTTATTTGTGGAAGATGGTTGACTGAGTAGCTGGATCTGAGGAACTGTATAAAGTTTTCAGTGATTAAGTACAACATCCTAATATTTGTTGCCTATTATTTTGAGAATTTGAGATTATTATACCCTGAATATATTAAGTTTGACCCGAAGTTTGTAACATTCAGAAGGAAATGTTGGATACCCTATTAAATATGCTCATTTGTTGGAACCGTTAATATCTTGGCATGTATTACTGTTCTGGGCAATGCTAGAGTATGCGAATAAATTTTTCAGATCAGACCATTATACTATATAGCATCCATACAAACTGAACAATCAAAGTCAAATTCTTGTATGGAAAACTTTTTGGAAAACTTTTTTTTTTCGTTTTTTCATCTTTATTCCCTTTCTATGCTTTTGTTACGCATTATACTCAGATCACACACGCTATCTTTTTTGACGCTATAACTGTTAAAACTAGCACTTTCCGAAAGCATTTAACAGTGTTTCACAAGTTCATTTAAATACAGTGGTTCGTGTGCAAGTTAAACAAACTAAATGCAAAGCTATAAATATTACTGATTTTAAATATTGTAAAACCCACTAAAAATAACCAATTATCTTTCTTCAAAAACTGCACACACATATTGCATTAACTGACTAAATAAATATTGTTGTTGATGTATAACATTGTGGAAGGTAATGAGTATAACATGTGACAGGGCCATTACGATGTGCAACGGTACTAGACAAGTGTAATTTGTAAGCCAAGGTTATAATAAAAAGCTACAAGTCGCTTTTTAAGTAGAATATACAGTAGTGACTTTGAAATGGAATCTTACATGCCTTTTCCAAACATTTGAAATCAAGAAAATGCGTAAACTCATTTACAGAAAATTAAGTACATATGTACAATTTGTTAATTTGCTTCAAGCTCTTTATATGAAAGATAATTTGTTCGATATTCAGCCGTGTGTTCCTCTGTACACATATTTATGTACACGCAATGAGAATCAAATGTGTACTTTTCGAGCTTCTACGCATATACATAATTACATATCATTTATAGTAGCTTGCTAGACTTTGATGATTGGTTCTGTTTTCTTCTTTAGAATTTTTGGATTATATTTTACCCATCAAGTTGCTTTCCATTTTAAAATTGTGGCAGCCACCATCTGCAATTTTTGATAGCTTCACTTTGCGAAAATGTTTTGCAAGCTTTTTTTCAGAATTCTATTGAAGTTCAATTACTAATAGAAAGAAATCAGATTTCAATTTGCAAGTAAATAATTCTTTTTACATACTGTGTATTCTGCTATAATTGAGTTAAAAGAAAATTATATTGTTTTTGAGTTATTTTTCTGTACAGTAAAATAATGATTCATCGTGACTCTCTTTGCAGTCTTATATTGAAAATTCTTATATTTGACTATCGAAACGGTCAATATTTTTCCTGCAAATAAATACTTTCGGAATTAGAGAGAGCCCATGCATACCACGCTTGGACACATTTGCATTTCTATTTCGGATGTTTTTTTAATTCTTAGCGGTCTTAACTTTAATGTTTTGAAAAAAAAAAATGGCTTCAGCGAAAACAATGCAATGTTTCAACAATAATTTCACCAGTTTTGCGTAAATAGTGTAAAATAGAAAACTACTTTTCATAAAAGCACTAGTCTTTTTACATCTACGTTCAAATGGGAAAACTCGTTGCAAAGAATATATAGTATTTACGTATATTTTATTTAAAATATCTACTGTCCAAACTTAAACTTTGTATGCATATTATGCATTCCATCTAGACATTCCTTAATAGTGTTTCAAGAAACAAAGACACCTATACAAATTTAGCTTTCATTGCTAGTTGCAGAGCTGTAGTCCGATGAAACCCTATATAAATCATCTCGGTAATAAATTAGAGCCAAATCCTGAACATTTTGGAGTGATTTATTTTCCTTATATTGGGCCAACTAAAAATTTTTCGAAAAAGTAAAAAGATAACTACTATATTTTAGATAAGTAAGGATGAATAGAATTAATCTAGTACTGGTGGTCTCTGCATGCATAAATCCAATTGTCGTAGAATGGTATAGGATCGTTCTATTGCTAGTAAATACATGGTGCTTAGCAATAAGATTTTACGTAACCACATGTTTGTCCTGTGGATCTAGGCATGTTGGAATGACAAAAAAAAAGAGGCCCATGGAGTTTCGGTTTGCGGTAGTAGCAGAAAAATATATGTGAAATTTAAGCACTTTAAACAATTTTGAATTATGCAACAGAGCTCCGTTATGGACACCTCTTTTTCGATATCCTTAGGCAAATAGCTACATAAAATACCTAAAACTCCTTACGTTGAACATATAAAACCATTTTTTTTGGTATAATTGTTCTTTCATGTCCATGAAATGCACAAATAGGAGCGAAACCATCGAGCAAGTTGGCCTTGACAAAAAACTCTATTTTATGTTTAATCGTAAAACGATAGTTTTGGCACCTAAAATTTTGAGGGCAGTACAATTTGTTTCAATTATCAAGGTTCAAAAATTGAAATATAAAAGGTTGAACCACGTTTTGTTTATTTTTAAATGAGGTATACTACATATAAAATTATATTTTATGATTCGACGAACTCTACTTATCATATCAAAATCAATTTGCGCTTACGATTCCATTTGCGCTATTCTACGGCCCAATCCGGGTCTTATTAGATCTTGTGTATATGTTTTTTAATACTGCAATACAATATATTCCCTTACCACTTTTAGAATGTATATTTATTAGCGAATCCTTGAGAACTTAAAAATAAACGTATCAAATAAATTGGTATAGAAGACAAAATAATAAACAATGGAAAACTAAATATCAATTAAATACTAAACAACTTTAATTGCTTACATTTCAATGCGATTCGACAATTTTAGTTGCAATTTCAATCAACGTAAATGATCTAATACCAATATGTGTATGTATGTGTGTACATACAAACGTACGTGCATTAAAAATTAAAAGCGTAATCAATTTTAAAGTAGAAATTACAAAAACAATAAAAATTGGAAAACTCAAATACTAAAAACAACACACACCCACAAACGTACAGCCACACTAAAACGTAAAAGGGATTAGCAGCGGAAAAATTGCGCACAATTAACGGTTTTACTGCATTGCAACTGTTTATTGATAGCAACAAATCGTAGAGATAACGGTATTGCATTGTTTTTATATTGCTTTTGTGTTAGTTTTTTTTTTTTTTATTGGCGTTTACTTAATAGTTGCTTTTAGTGTTTGGTTTAGTTTATTTTTAGTCTGGAATTAGTTGTTTAGTTGAGTGCATTTGCTGTCTCGCTTAACTTGTATAACGGCGAGTGAAAGAGTAGACAGGTGTACTAAATACTTGTACTGAAAAAATAAACTACTGACAAAGATAAAATTGGTAAATAAAAATAGTGGACCACACCAAAGAAGCACTTAATGAAAAGGTACATAAGTAAATCAGTAGAGTAGTTGTTGAGACGATAGAAAGTGGAAGAGAACGTGTTGCTGACGGATTTGGTACCGCATACATGGCTTTAGTAGCTAGCGGAGGATGCTTCAAATGCGCTTTTTGTTTTCCAACTAACATGTTGTTGTTGCTGCAGTGTTTATTTTATGTGGTTGCTTTCGCCTTTGATTGATTTGATTTGTTTGCATTTTTCTACCTGCTTTCCAGTTTGCAATAGCGCGGTATTGCCATAACAGCTGTGGCATTTTCAGCTCATTTATACTGAGTATTAGTTTTGAGCTTAAAGAACGCGCTAAAATACGAAAGAAACTACTACATATCCACATTTAAAGTTATATTTATATAGTTACTGATGTATGGTTGCCACAAAAATTCGAGCTAAATTCCTCTAAAAAGCTTTTTCGATTTTTATATACTTCATTAATTATATTTATTCTACATACCGGCAAGTCACGCTGGCCAGCAAACTAAGTATACTTTTTTTAAGATAATTAAATCATGTGAATTCGCGTCCGTAAGTCTGTAGGAAACAATTTAATAGCTGTTATTACAAAGGCAATTAAGTTAATAAACGCCAAGTTGAAAATAACGGCTGTGTACTTCCGCTGCTTTGCTGGCTCAAAAACACGCTTGTCGTTGGAAATTTATTATTATTTTTACTTTAGCTTAATCTCTTATGCAACTCTAAGTAATTAGCGTTAATTTTTTTGTAAGTAAATGTATTGGCATTTTTTTCTTGGCGTTGTATTTTTGCTGTAAGTTTAGGCTAGATTGCTAGTGTTTTAGTTTTGGAGCATGTTGTCGTTGCGTTTTAAGTGCCAGTGTTTTTTGGGTTATTCAACTACACGTATTAAATTTTTATTAACGCAAATAGTTCAAGCGATAGTTTAAAGTTGTACGAAATTGTTAGTTTTCATATTAAATAAAAAAAAAAATTAAAAAAGTTTATAAAATTTTTCGTAACAAAAAATAGAAAATGTTTAAATTAAATACTATTTTGCGGCACACACATCAAACTAGCTAACATTGAAGAGAATATAAGTAGCATTAGTATTAGTAGTAGCATAAATGTATTGAGTTCAAAGTATTAGTTTTTGATACTTTTGTGGTAGTAAGGAAGTGTTCAGAAGAATCATAGTAAAGTTTTCAGTAGTTCTAAAATTGGTGCGCTTCAAAGATAACTTTTTTCCTCTGTGTTGTTGTGTCAAATTTATCTCTGATGCTTTATTACGTTTTTTTAAGAATCAAGTTTCTTTTCTGTTTATTAGTTTGTCTGCAAATTACGTGGAAATTATTCAACTTACTTGTGAAATCGTCCAACTCTTCTTGTTCCGCTTCGGCAGCCAACTCTTCGGGCGTCTTTTTCTTTCGCATCAACGGATTGGGTTCTTCTTGGGGCATGGCTTCGACAACTTCTTCCTTTTTCTTTATGTTGTACTGAAAACAAGGAAGAGAAGGGTTAGACATTTGTTTCGTGAAAAATAATTAGTAGAATACTATTTGCTATAACTACTAGAGAAATTTATTTTAATATGCAATATTATGTATTCTCAGACTAAAATAACTGGAAACATTAAATATGGAACAGGTTCAGAGTAGAATTTGTCTTGTCCCTTTGTCTGTAAGCGAACTAGTGCTTAAGTGTTTGAGATATCGATGTATCGATCTTTGCACTCATCACTAATCGTTTTCAACCGAAGAATCTACAAATTTGTCGGAAACGTCGATTTGGGACCTCTATACCATATAGCTGCCATACAAACTGAACTGTAGGAATAAAGTTCTTGTATTATGGGATGTTTTTTTATTTTAAAATATATCTTTTCAAAATTCGGCAAGGATAATTGTCCATCGATAGATCAAAATCTATTTCTTGTATAGAAGCTTTTGTAGTTGTGAAGGGTATTATGGCTTCGGTGCAGTGAAAATTAACGTTTTTTAAATTTATTTTTTTTGTAGCATTTCAAGCAAATAAAATACTTAAAAATAACTCCGAGAACTATATAAAAATATTTTTTTTTTTGCATTTCCCTTCGAAGAACAAATTTAAATTTATTTTTTTAAATATATTTAATTTTTTTTAGAGTTTTTAAACTTAATCTACAAGCTTTTAAATTTAAGTATTTAGAATCCAGCAACAACTCCACCTTAAATCGCTCTAACATTTTCCTCTCAACTTCCATCCCTGAAGCGCTCTCAGGGAGATTACAGATTTCTATTAACCCCACTTCTTATTATTAAATTCTTCATCTATTCTTTTCTTTCTATTCTGCTGTCATTTTTCCGTTGACACAAATTGAATTACATTGCAGCTCGATACCGCCACGAGTGGCACCAAAGTGGTATTTTCTATAGCTTTCAGCAAGACAAGAAGTCAAGCAACCCCTTCTAATAGATATATTTATACGGTATGTGTGATATGTATGAGAGTAAACATTTCATGTAAAGTCAGGTGAACATCGTGTTTGTTGTTATTTTATTTGCTGTCATTGCGGTAATGTGATTGCGCATTTTTTTTTCTGAATTAAATTTTATTTAACCCAGTTTCATCTTGAACTTTTGATTCAACAACTCGACAATTCATTCATTTATTCATACGCTCGCATTTGTTACGGAGCTTGTGCTTTTAAGCAGGTTTATATACATAGATATAGGTACATGCTTACATATATAATATAATATTACTTTCTTTTTTCTTATTTTTTTTGGGAAATGCCAACCACTTTCATCTGATGGCACTTCTGTAAGTACTTTTCATGTTTGTATGTATTTATGTAAATATGTACCGTTATTTGTAAGCTTGCTTATGTGCCACTTTACGAATTGTCATTGCGTAGTGATTGATTTCATGGCTGTGTACCTGTCATCCCTGGCGGCTGCAATTTATTTCTGTTGATACCCGCTGTGTTGTCATGGCATCTTGACGTGGCTAAAGCTTTAAGCTTCAAGTACAATATTATGAATATTTTCAATGTGATCATTGCTTAACTTGAGATATCTTTAAAGGTACTTAAATGGAATTTTGTGAGCATATTTTTGGTGTTTTTGTATTAAGTAAGACGTTGCCATGGACTGTCTTAAGCCATTTCATTTTATTTCACTTTATTTAAGATATTAAATTTTTCTTGGAATTCAAGTATTATCATCAGTGTTCAGATTATTGTGAATTTGAGATATAAGTATTCACATGATTTGGTTTTAAGCTATTTCATATAGTACTCAGTTATATTATTTATTTTTTGGTATTATATTAAAAGTACTTTTGTAAGTGTGAAAGCTCGTCCGTTACTGAAAATTTAATACAAAATGCTCTTCAATTATTAAATTAGTACCCCGAATCTCACTTCGCATGGTTTTTGATTGCATTTAAAGCTACTGGAGCTTATGAATAGAAATTTAAAACTATATGCATTTTGTGTCCTGCCATTTTCGTTATCTTTTAAAAACGAAAGTTTATTTTCAACGAAATATTAACATATGCTAGCTGCTTTTGTCTTATTTATATATACCTAACTGTTTTTAAGTACTTTGTTAGTGTTTCAATTAGAAATATTTAAATCTGTCTTATTCACTCCTTTTCATTCCACATTTTAAATTGAAATTTTTTTTTTTTTATTTCTCCAAGTTTTGAATTCAAGTAATATTTTCTCAATTTTTAATCCAAGATTTTTTTAAATATTTTAAGTTAAATTTAAAAATAAAAATTTCAATTGTTAATCAAAAGTGCGGATCGGAATTTAAATTTAAAATCTAATTTTTAATTCCAAATTCGAAATCGAAAATTTAAATAACATTTTTGATAATTCATTTTCATTTTTGAATACAAAAATTTACAACCTTGCAATGGATATTAGTTTAAACTTGTCCCTTCATTCAGTGTCAGTAAGCATTTCGCATTGATATGCGGCTTTTATACTTATTTCTCTATTTTTAAAACAACTCAAGGTCTTTTGTAGGTTACATTTACTTCTCATGTATATAAAACGGTTTTAGTGTCTTTTAAACGGCCCTATCACATTTGGTATCAGCACATAACCCACAACATAAACCGGCAAGTTTCAGCACAATTACGCCGACTACAACTCCTCTAAAGCCGCGGATGACTACAATAAGGGGCCTCAAGCAGCTTTGAGGTTTGCCGCAATGTGTGTGTGTATGTGTGTTTGAGTGTATCATATCGCTTTGCAGGTGTAACAAAGGTTGGCTTTGTTGGACAGCTCGAAAAGTCCCCTTTGGCACCGCCTCACCATATTCGCACTCAGTCAATGCCAACGGCTCTTTGCTTTTGCTTTTGTTATTCCTTCACTGTGCTTATATGTTTCTGTGTTTTATTCCTCTTTTTCATTTACATTTCTCCCCTTCAGATAATATGCTTTACGGCAAAGTTGTTGTGCGCTCGCCTTTAACGCTTACACACATTTCAACAAATGACCGGGATTTTGCTTTATGTATTATACGTTGTTATGTGCATCATGTACATATATATGTGCTGTGCTTATGCGTTAAAGTAGGCTGATAGTCGTAACACGTGTCTAGATAATATTGAGCACGTATCGATTTCCCCTTGTGTGACACTAGTCATTGAATATTGCTTAGTTAGCGCAGTGAGCTTAAAGATAAAGGGCAGTAGGTAGGCACTGACATGTATACATATGCTCTTATATTTATATAGTTGGTGTGACTTGTATTTAAGAACTAAACAATAGAGACTATAATCAGTATTTCAATTTTCTAGGAAGACGGGAAGTGCTTAAAGACAATACAGCTTTTGTAGGGAAAACAATTTACTAAATACATGTTTTGTGTTAATTTAATTTGATATTTTTGTGAAACTTTAAAACATCCTTGCTTTTATATGGAAGGTCATTCTTAAATCTAGTAGCAGAAACGCAGATATAAAATAATATAACATACCACTTTTCTTGTCTTTTATGTAGTTTTCGACAATAACTGTAGTAATATATCGGAAAGAAACTTATAGGGCACGTCCAGTGTGACATTTTTTGCATATTCCCATAGTCTAACAGAATGTCTTTGAAAATGCCATACTATAATTTTAAATTATTTAAATTTACAAATTTTTTTAGTTACAGCGTTCAAAAGTGTTGTCGCCTAATTAATCCCTAAAGATAAGTAATATCAAAAGAGCTTTTACCAATTTGCTTGAGTGATTACTCGAAAACAAATGATAGGCAAAGGATTCGATCGTTATAAACTTTATTATATACAGTTCTCCATAAAATCTATCAGTTCTGATCAAAGATCGAAGTTCAACAGGACAAAAACGATCACAATGCTATGTAAAATTCAACTCTTTTTTTGCAAATCCTCTTTTTTGTAAATTTTTGATTTTTTTCACTGCATGTCATTGGATGGACAATATATTCTAGTAGAATTTTTTTTAGGTTTCATCCACGAAGAAGGCCGCAATGGGGCCCTTTTTAGCATCGACGAATATCGCGTGTAACTCGAAAAAATTTTAATTATTTCCATCAAAAATATTTATTATGCATAAATATACCTTCGAAGCTTTTAAACTATTTATACAGTCGTTTTATTTTATTTCCCAAACAATCGCTCTTTTTAGGTTGTCCCTCTACGTGTGGCCCTTAAAAAACTACAAAAACATATTAATTTAAACAAATCATGTAAATTAAAAGTTCAGTAAAACGAAAAGCTTCTTGAAACCACCATAATTAAAAAATCCTACTTGTAGTCAGCCATTACAAAGTTTAATGCTTATTTGGTCACCTTTTGTAGAAGTACTGTAAGCATTTGTGCTAAACAAGTTTCTTACACTCTCTATAAAATGTTCTGCACCCAGTCCACCGAAATCTTTGTTGTTTCTAAACATTTTTGCTAACATAAATTATTATTTTGCTTGTTTTTTGTTGTGTTCTTAATTAGCATCGCCTTGTGGTATGCGGAGATAGAATTAAGCGTTTGCGCTGTGTGAAGTGAGAAGCATATTTTATCGCTTTTTTGTACATTTTTATATATATACAAGTATATATATATATATGTATAGGTATATTTAATGTCAGCATGTAAATTCTGGATGCCTCGACTACTCGGCTGGATTAGGTACTCACCACGCAGGCAACAATTAAAATGACCTCAGCTGATATATTTGTATGCATATTTGCGGTAATTAATTAAGCTTGTATACGATTAATTAAGTGTGAATGTAGTTAAGTTGAGATTGTGGCGCCACCGGCGATGAAAGGTGAACAATGCAGTAAATGATGGAGCTGTGCCAGTGCAACCATTCATCATTCGAGGTCTGCTTTATTTTGCAAAGTTTCTTGTTGAGTATTATATTATATATACAGCTTTGTGGGAGTGTTTAATTGTTTTTTTGTTTTATACCCTGAGCAGGGTATATTAAGTTTGTTACGAAGTTTGTAACACCCAGAAGGAAACGTCGGAGATCCTACAAAATATATACACAAATGATCAGCATGATGCGCTGAGTTGATTTAGCCTTAAGGGTCTGACTATCCGTCTGACTGTATATATACAAACTAAGGCCTCAGTTTTTAAGCTATCGATCTGAAATCTTTCACCCGTCTTTTTCTCACTAAGAAGCTGCTCGTTTGTCGGTCGGTTTATTGGACCACTATATCATATAGCTGCCAAACATACTGAACAATCGCAATCAAGCACTTGTATGGGAAACTTTTTTGTTAGACGAGGTATCGCATGGATTATTATTTAAGACAATAATCCAATCTCCGAAGAACTTGTATAGATCGGATGACTATACCATATAGCTGCCATACATTTTGATTGATCGGAATCAAGTTCTTGTAAGTTTATTTGATGATAGGTATAATATATTATTAAAATGATTAGAATGCCCTAGATTAGTTATTCTTTTAAAAAATATTAAGCTTATTTATAAAGAAGAAAAATTTAATTAAATAAGGAAAATTAGTTCACGAAATGAAAAAAATTTAGCAACTATTTTGAATATTTCGCGAATTCAATTATTAAATTTTTTGATATTATGAATTTATGTTTTTTTATACTCTCGCAATCTGTTGCTACAGAGTATAATAGTTTTGTTCACTTAACGGTTGTTTGTATCACCTAAAACTAATCGAGTTAGATATAGGGTTATGTATATATAAATGATAAGGATGAAGTAATGAGTTGAAATCCGTGTGACTGTCTGTCCGTCCGTCCGTCCGTGCAAGCTCTAACTTGAGTAAAAATTGAGATATCTTTATGAAACTTGATAGACATGTTTCTTGGTACCGTGAGACGGTTGGTATTGCAGATGGGCGTAATCGGACCACTGCCACGCCCACAAAACGCCATTAATCAAAAATAAATAAATTGCCATAACTAAGCTCCGCAATAAGATACAAGACTGTTATTTGGTACACAGGATCACATTAGGGAGGGGCATCTGCAGTTAATTTTTTTTTTTAAGTGGGCGTGGTCCCGCCTCTAATAGGTTTAATGTGCATATCTCCTAAACCGCTAATGCTATAATAACAAAATTCACTGGAAGCAAATGGTTTTAGAACTTCTACCTAAAGTGTGAAAATAGTTGAAACCGGGTGGCAACTCCGCTCACTCCCCATATAATGGTACTGTTAAAAACTACTAAAAGCGTGATAAATCAAGCACGAAACACGCCAGAGACATTAAATTTTATCTCTGGGATGGTATGAGATAACTTTATAGGAACCGCGTTCAAAATTAGACAGTGGGCGTGGCATCGCCCACTTTTAGGTGAAAACCCATATCTTGAGATCTGCTTAACCGATTTCAACCAAATTCGGTGCATAATATTTCTATGTCATAGTGCGAAAATGGGCGAAATCGGACTACAACCACGCCTACTTCCCATGTAACACCATTTTAAATTCCATCTGATTCTTTCACTTTCCAGTATGCATATCAAGCAACGATGATTATATCGGGGTAAAAATTTGCGTGAATAATACGTTTAAAGTATGCCTCATTGTGACCAAAAATTGTTTAAATCGAACAAAAACTGTTCAAATCCCTAGGTACTGAATATGTGGACGCCAGTGCCTATAGTTGACATTTTACCGAAAATATCGGTTAATGTGTAAAATATATAATTCAGATTCATGTAATAAAATAAATTAATGAAATTCTCGATAATAGTATGTTTTGTGTCAAAAATTGGTTGAATCAGATAAATTCTTCCTTTAATATCACCTGAAGTAATTTCCAACACCTGAAGTAATTTCCTGGGCTTTGATCCTTGCAAGTTGCGAGAGTATAAAAAGTGCGGTTACACCCAAGCTTAGAACTTCCTTACTTGTTATATTTTAAGTTTGTTTCTACAATATTTTGGTTTTCTTATATATTAGTTTTTTGTGTTTTTTTTTTATTTTTTAATTTTTAATTTTTATTATGTTACAGTTTTTATATTTTCATATTTTTTTCTTCATGCTTCACTTCTGTATAATATTTAAAAAATCAGTTTGTTGTCGACCTTTGCGGAGATCAATCTGACTCCGTTAGGGAGTCGCTCATTAAAAGGACTCCCTACTAGAGTCAATTTGAACTACAAAAGGTATTTTGCACTGCACTTGTTTTTTCACAGCACTTTTTATAAATATTCACTCACATACATATATATATATATATATTTGTACTATTAATTTCTTATTAAAAGCTTTGAACTTGAATTCGTTATATTTGATTTTTTCCAAGTTTTTAGTTGGATTAGATACTTTTGAGCGGAAAATAAAATTTACTTATTACTTTTAATTTATAATGGCGTTATATGTGTTTTGTTTATTGTTATTAGAGATGTTTTAGGTCATACAGGAGGTGAGTCGTTTTAATTCTCTTAATTCCTTTTTATTGTTTTGTTTTAATTTTATTTTTGGTTTTTGAATACAATTTCATTATTTTATTTTCTTAAATATAATCTTACACTTTTCATTTCATGTTCATTATTTTTTATCACGCTTGGTATTCCACCGCTACATTAAGGAAGCGCCTTGCAACTATGTAAGACATACGAGTGCATCATTTATTAGTGTATGAGTGTCTTTTAAAGGAGAGAACCGACATTTGTAGCAGGAAAAATTATATGAAAGCAGAATTAAAAATGAAAATTTCAAAACAAAGTTGCGAATGCAGCTAACTAGGAAAACGTGTCGGTTGGTGGCGCGCTGCACGAATAAAAAGTTGTATAAAGAAGACCCTTCCACGCTCCATCAACACATTGCTGTGCAAAATTATGTTACAAGAAGAGTTTTTAACTACTAAAGTAAAATTTATGTAACCAGAAACTATCTGATTAAAAATAGTTATCCTATTTCTACTAAATGAGCTTTAAAAAAGGGCAGTGCTTAAATATATAAAAAATTGCAAGTAGCACAACAGTACATACATATATACGTGTAGTTATGTAAATTTTCAAGTGTATGCTAACTCCATTTGCTGCAAGAACTTTTCTTTACTGAAAGTTTTTTAATGAGAAAGTTTCCACGATTGGTTGACAAAATTTACGACCACATGTTTTACGAAAGTTAGTGACAGAAAGTTTGAACTGTTCCTTAATAGTAGAGGAAAGTAGCGTAAGCAGAAAAAAAAAAACTTTGAAGATAGTTGAAAATAAAAAAAATCGATTATTTTGTAGGAGATAAAAAATATTTTTTTATTAAAAACAAGCAAAATAATAATTAATAAAAATTTAGTTTTATAACCGTTTTAAAGTTAAAAGGTAAATACTAGAAAATTATAGTGGCTATTTAATTTTATTTCCACTGCAACTTATTTTAAACAAATTTCGAATTTATGCATTTAAACCACATCTCTGACGACTGTATTTTTCTCGACGACTGTATTTTTCTCCTTCAGAAGTGTCTAAACACGCTGTGCACAAGGCTTTGAAAAACAATACTAACAAAAAGTATGTTTATATATATGCTGGCCAACATTTGGCGGTTAAAACAAGTCGCCTGTTAACATCAACGTTGCCTATAGTACATTAGTGGTGGTGGTATTAGTGGCAACGGAAGTTGTTAAACAACCCGTTAAACAGCTATGATAGCGGCTAAAAACAGCCAACACAACAGCTTATGAGAATAGTGAACAGTTTAATGCATGAAACGTTGCATAAAAACAGGCGCGGTCCGCCAACTGCCAACACTGGCAACAATTTATGAGTTTTTCTTTCTTTGACCGGCAAAGTTTCAGAGTAGCAATTTTGACGCATTATTTTTTTCGTCATACTTTCACCAACTTTTGCTGGCAAAAACTTTCCATGCCCTCAAATTGTACGAGTTGTCGGCGGCTTCGTGAGAGTGCTGCGCGCGCAGCTTAAGCCACTAAATGGAGCGTCAGTAAAAAACACGTATTTATGTTGATTCAAACAAGTGCTTTGCATGCATTTTGCTATTATGCAGCGATTTTCGTGGTGTGATGCGGAGTTTTTGCCATAAGCCATTCAATTTTCAAAGTGTAAATAGAGTTTTGGGAGTAAAGTGTTGGCGTATGAATTACACAAATTTCTCGTGTGTATTAATTGCTAGCTAAAATTTGTGGAATTTCGCTTAAAGCTGTAATTGAATGTTTCTTAGCTTATGAAGGAGATTATATGTATTATTTCAATACTTATTTAAATAATATTTGAATTGTATTTAAATTTTTGATTTATGGAAGACAAAACAAGAAAAAACGTTAACTTCGGTTGCACGGAAGCTATACCTTTCACAAATCAAAGGTTCCTTACAAGAACTTGATTCCGATAATATGGCAGCTATATGCTATAGTAATTCGATTTATACAATTTCCTGCCATAACTCAACAATGTCACGTCAAATGAAAGCTTTTTCCATACAAGCATTTGATTCCGATTGTTCAGTTTGTATGGCAGCTATATACTATAAGGGTCTGATATTGGGCGTTCCAACGAATGGCAGCTTTTTAGTGAGGAAAGGGCAGGTGTAAAATTTCAGAGCGATATCTCAAAAACTGAGGGTATAGTACGTGTATATACAAACGGACATCACCGGACTCAGCTCATTACGCTGATCATTTATATATATACTTAATAAGGTCTCCGACGTTTCCTTCTGGGTGTTGCAAACTTCGTGGCAAACTTAATATACCCTGTTCAGCGTACCATATTATTTTAAATTTAAACTTTGCTTACTCTAAGCTATGCTGTTTTGAGCTTTAAGCTCGTTAATTAATATATGTTAGTTATGTAAATAAAATTTCCCTTACAGTTCAGTAAATAATAATTTAAGCTCATTTTCTAATGAAAGCTGCTTGTACCACTTAGACAAATTATTTTTACAAAAATGTTGTTTTATGAAAAACATATCTATCTTGGTAACAAAAAAACATATCTATCTTGGTAGTATAACTAGTACTTACCTTATCACGAATATCTTGTCTCATCTTTTCGCGCTCCTCTTCCATCTTACGATGCTTTTCCTTCCGTCGCTCTTCGGCCTCACGTATGGCCTCCTGACGCTCCCTCTCCTCCTCCTCTGCCTTTTCCTTATCGTCACCATCATCACCGCCATCACCACCTACGGCGCCTGGAAGAGTAGAATGAAATTCGGAATTAGTTTTGAAATAACTTGAATTGAAATGAAATCAATTAAACAACATGTGTTCATGTAATATAATAATAATCTGTGTTGCCACTATATATCGAAATATATGAATTTTATAAATGGGATTAAATTAGTTGCATTTAAATCCATTAAAATTCTACTTATTTGGTCAATGAAATTTAATTCTCTTAAATTTTTACTATTGACATACTAAATACTAAATATATTTGCAAACATCTTCATCTCTGTATTTGTCGACTCTTCAATTTAACTTTTCAATTTAAATAAATTTTAATTTGTTGTATATATGATAACTCTGAGCGCATCAAATTTCTGGTTTTTAATTTAATTTATCGCATACAAGAGTATTTGCCATATTTGAAGTTGAATAAATCGAATAAAGAAAGCATCCATTAGGCATGCGGTTTTTCTTAGCATACATCAAGGCGCAAGCTTATCAATAAATATCTAAATTTATAGCACAATAGGGTTTATTTAAATTATATTTGTATACATATATCACACGCACACGCATGTGCGCTTATCTCAATTTTGCACACTTTTCTTTGCATTGAAACCTAAGATATTTTGTGCATTAATACGCACACATAGAAACTATTTGTATATATAGAGTGTGCGAGCTAAACGCAGCCATTGTTTAACGCTGGTTGCCTCATAGGATTCAAAAAAATTGAGGAGCATTATGCGATTTTGTAGCGCTGTGGCAAGTCATGCCTTTAAAAGATGAATTTAATTTGCGCAATTGCAACTGATATTTTCTACAAAAAGGTACTATTGTTTGTCGTTTTTGTCAAACAGTGGATTAAAATGATATGCAATATAAAAACTTGAAATTACTTCGAAATAAAAAATTATTTATATTGAAACTGAAGTCACCTGTAAATACTTGTTTATTGGTTTTGCGCGACTGATTTACAACTGTTTACTATTGTTGTCACTTTTTGTGATTCTGTTTGTAATGAATTTTAATTATTCATTTTATAAATACTTTTTCTGCTACTTTGCTACTCTTATTAATTTGAATTGTGGCAAACATAATGTATTTTTGATGCGTTTAACTGCGAGGTAAGCGCTTAACATGCTTGAACATTTATAAATAGTTAAGTGATTGCTCATTAAATAAATATTAAGTTTTTTGTATTCACAAGAATTCACAAGTAAAAATATTGTATTTAAAAAAAAACATTATGAATTTATTTGCCTCTGTTGTAATGTTAACTTGACAATTGAAATTTATTGTCTGTATGAAGGGCGTTTGATATGATTTTTTGTCCTTAATTAATTTTTTCGAGCACTCATTTTTAAGTTTATGGCGAAATCTGTTCTGTGAAGGCCCTTAATACCTAATTGTAATAAGTGTTCGCAAATTCTTAGTTGCTTTCGTGTTTATTAACCACATTACTTGCACTAATATTGGAGTTTGGCCTACATTTGGGCGTCTCGAATATTGTGTAATAGTAAATTTTATTAGGCCCCGAAATGTAGGCATCAAGTAAGTAAGTGAATTTGTATATGTCAGAAATGCTTCAGGTATTTCTTAAAATTATAAAAAGTATCGTTTAATTTTGAGCACAAGAAATTGTTTGAGAAAAATTTGAAAGTATTCAAGAAATAATCTTATAGAAACTGTTAAATTTTTGTGTCAAAATAATCTGTGGCAGCTAAGCTAGATATTCAAATTTTCGGTATGTACGAGATCAGGTGTTTGTAGTTTGAAGGTGTAGTTGTATAAAGCGGTATCTATTTGAGCGTAATCAGAAGTGTGACAATGTTTCTCCGTTAGCTGTGACTTATATTATCGACAGTGTCTATTCTTCTTTTTTTGATTATCAGAATTTAGTTAGAACACCATTCCAAATAAGCCAAGTGGCAATTCTTCAACACCTACTCCCCGAGATTTCCGTTTGCACTAGGTTAAGTTCAATAATCGGCGTTCAGCACCTCAAGTCTAACTTAACTACCTCAAATATTAGCATTTTTAAATCTATACAATTTTTAATCAAACTCATATTTGTTTTAAATTTAATTTTCTACATTAATTTCATTAAATGGTTATTTATGTGCATGTGCAAAGAAAAGTTAATAGGAAAACTTTTTACGCCACACTAACTTTTTAAATTTGCCAGCATATAGCACTCACACACCACTAAAGTGAATTTCATTTTACGACGCTTCTTTCACTAATTACATTTGTTGCTTTGCACAATATTTAAGTTAATTAAAAGTAATGCTTTGTTATTGCGCCAAAAACTTTCTAATGCCCTAATGAGTGCTAGCTGCTGCTGCTCCTGGCCTCAAGTCGAGTGCCGAAGTGTGGGCCCGAGGCCGTCTTAAAGCGTGTTGTTGTATTTGTGTTTACTGCAGAGGCTAAAGTTGAAATCAATCCGACCATTCAAGTTGACTGTCAAATTTACTACATCGCCTGTCGAAGGTGGGGTTGAGTGGCAATATTATCAGAAGTGGAAAATTTAATATACAATTAGAAGCTATTCAGAGCAGCACAGGCAATGTAAGAGGGTGGAGGGAGCACTACACCAACAGCAATCTGCAATGTAACCAATAACGGTATAAATTACCACTAAACCAGGCTGGCTCAGTTGATTTGGTCATTGAGGTAGTTGCCGCCTTCAAGCTCATAATTCAAAACTACGCAACAACTCCCATAAATGTCAACAGTTTTTGAACTCAAGTGTTTTTAATTGACTTAATTACGAAAAGTTTGACTGATGAATTGGATGAAGTGCTGATTGTTGGCACTTTTGTTTGGATTTTATTTGATTCGCTTCGCAGTTTTATGTAGAAAATATTAGTATTTTGAGAAAAGTGATTCTAATAGCATTTTTCATTACAAGTGTAGCATATGCGAAGGCGTTTTCAACTGTCGTTTGTGAATAGTAGCTTAAATGAGGTTTTACATATGTTAAAACTTGTAAACAAATTTAAATTAATTTTTAATTAAATTCGCAGCTCAGAAAATTAAATTTTATTACGGAAAAACTAGTTTGGAGCTATTTAAAAATTGCTCCTTCAGTTCCCTACTTCAAATGAATAAATATGTTTGATTTCTCAACTGCTGTTATAAGAGGTTATGTAATACATTTTCGCTCAGTAGTTAATTTTCAATGTAGTAGTTAATTTTCAAAATTTTTTGTAGTAATTTCTTTCAAAAGGTGAGCAGTTCTGACTTGAAAACGAGTTTTTGTATACTTTTCGGATATAGTTAGAAATTTATATAATAAATAATATATATTTGACAAGTACTTTGCAAATATTTTTCATTATTTCGTAATTTTGGAAAGGATATTAATGTGGTTAGGCTCAAAAAATCGCACAATTATATTTTTTATTCACATTTATGTTTATATTTATATTTATATTTATATTTATATTTATATTTATATTTATATTTAT